GTCTTGAATTCCTGACCTCATGATCCGTCCACCTCAGCCTCCCAAAGTGCTGGGATTACCGGTGTGAGCCACCCACCACGCCCAGCCACCTGGCTTTTATTTTAATGAGACTTTCTTTCAATAATATCTGATTACTACCCCAAAAGAGATCAGTTTTAGATACATCACAGACAAACAGATCTTGCTATCAGACCACTAGGAAGCAAAGTCTATAGCTGTGTGCATTAAAAAATCCTAGTCAGGCTGGGCACAGAGGCTCACACCTGTGATCCTAGCACTTTGGGAAGCCAAGGCGGGTAAATCACCTGAGGTGAGAAGTTCGAGACTAGCCTGGCCAACATGGTGAAACTCCATCTCTACTAAAAATACAAAAATTAGCTGGACATGGTGGCGGGCGCCTGTAATTCCAGCTACTCAGAAGGCTGAGGCAGGAGAACCACTTAAACCTGGGAGGCAGAGGTTGCAGTGAGCTGAGATCATACCATTGCACTCCAGCCTGGGCAATGAGAGTGAAACTCCATCTCAAAAAAAGAAAAAAAAAAAAATCCTGGTCAGTCCTAGAATTCACTGGGGGGAAAAATCACTACTATCACATGTGTAAGTATAGATGGCACAGGGTCTACAAGTTCCTACAAGGAGATAATGAGATACCAACTACCACAAGGTCCTGTCATAGAGCTCAACCAGGAAAGAAACATTTTTCAAAGAATAGTAGAGGAATTTTACCAATACGTCCCCCAGATTTAAGCTATAACATTTGCCAGGAATCCTGTTTCACAATCATATTATTGCAATGATATAACTATTGACCTCCTATCCTTTAAAGGATTATACATTATATTGTACATAGTTTAAATCATATGAAGTACTAATGCATCTGCTAATACTACTAAACAAAGGATGATGTGCTAAAAATGTACAAATGAATCTATTACAGACCCAAGCATGAGATGAGATGCTATAAACAGCAGTTACATTAGATACTATGATAACCGAATTTGGATCAAGTAAGCACTGAGAAGAATTACGTTTTAAAAAATTCCTTGCAGTAGCAGAAAGAAATGACTTTGGAGAAAAATAAAATGATTTTTGAAGAGACAGCATGATGCAGCTTCTTTGACTAAAGGTTAGAGGACTAGCTAGAAAGGAGCCCCTGCCCAAAGAAAAAACAGAAGCAAGAAATCTACTGCAATGCTTACAGAGCAGACCCTTGTTACCCAAGGTATCTGAGGGACATATCAAAAGACACAGAAGCAGCCAGTACCTCATTTGAGGTGAAGGATGTCATCCTATGTTTCCTTAGGTAGCTTTCGAGCATCTTTTTCCAGGCACAATGAATCAGTAGTAGACACAACCTCCTGACCAAGAAGCTTCGCTATCTCAGAAGAAAGTAGGTTCTCAAGCAGTAGAAGCCAAAGAATGAAATGTATATACCTACTCCTAGTTAAAAATAAGCACTTTCAAAATGGTTTGTTTTCCACGATAGTAAATATTATATAAAAAGAAGGTTGGGATCATATGTCACACAGCAATCAATCAATAATACACAGAAGTGATTTTGTATGAGATTCTTCTTAATTTCTTCCTACAACATTCAAAAAAATTCTAGCAATGAAAGGTTATCTCAAAAATATAAAACACCTTCCAGTTCATACACTTAAAATCACAAAACTTCTAAATAAGAAAAGTAAATACAAAAAAATGATCTTTTCTAATAGGAAATAAGCTATGTAGAGGTTTCATTTATTATTCAAAATTAAAGAGATTTTTCCATGTCTTTTCCATTAAAGCATAAACCAATTCAGAAGGTAAGACTGCTGCTTTCATCTTTGAAAATTTACAATGAATATAATCATTCCCTGAGTTTTCAAAATTAACTTAAAACTGAAATTAATGGTTCTCCTAAACCCAACCACACTGTGTTTACTGTATCTATACATAACCAGGTTTTTGTGACTAGAAAATGTTTTAATCAAGCTATTTTTTTCTATTACTAGGAAGCATTATTAACCTAGAAACAAATTCCTAAAATAAATAGATAATTCCATCTATTGGTTCTCTCATCTATTAGAAACTTTTTTCCTCAATCTAATTATCCTTTAATGTACTACAATGGTGGTGATTTACAAACTGATACTCTTATCAGTTTGCTCTCTATCAAAAGTACTTCTTTATTTAAAGTCAGAAGTAGAAACATTAAACTGCTATTTTTAAAAACTGAACTAAAAAATCAGCGGGAAAAATCTATTTTTTTTTGTATTTTTGAACTACAGAACACATAAAATATATTATAAATAAATCAAATAGAAATGTTTAGACACATATTTATATGTGTACATGGTAAAAGCTTAGGGTTATTATCTGAGCTATTTATCCTAATTATACTGGGCTGACACAGAATTATGATTGTGGCGCCCTCTGCTGGGTTTTCTAGTCACAAACTCAATATCACTATTGGCATAATAAAATCAAATTTTTGAGGCATCAAGTGAAAAATCTTTTTCAGTTCATGGTCACTTTACGTTTAAAATTATATAAAAGTTATAATCAGTATTTACTTTATTGGAACAGGACTTTACCAATTTATCATTAAGTGAAACATCAATATAGATTTTTCTTTTAAAATAAAAAGACTAAACATAAAATATACACAAAACAACATATTTTAGTAGGTCTTATTTTTGTCACCATTTCTATCATGTAGCAATATATTCAGGTTTCTAAGACCATATTTATGATGAGACATTACAGCTATTTTGCTAATTTTATCTAATTGTTCTACATTGTAAGTTCAATTAAAATAGTATATTTTAAGACAGAATAATCCTAATATCTTCTTTATTAGGAAAAGAAACAAGAGAACTTTTGTAGGTACTCATCGCTAGTAATAATTAATAGACTGCTTCCATTTATTGAATATCAACACTGAGTCATACAGTCTGTTACATACTTTCTATATAATATAGCCAGTCCTAAGAGAGGAAAACAGTTGAGGTTCATTGAGGTGATACAAATTGCTCAAGATGAATTTCAGAGCCAGGAGTCAAATGCAAGTGGGTATGATTCCAAAGTTCTAAACCTTTCTACCAAACAACAGAAAACAGTGAAAAGGCCTGAATATGCGATCTTTCTGCTTGTTAATGCACAACAATGTGGGGTATGGAACAACTTGATAAAAAAAAAAAAAATCAGAAAAGGACAAGACAGTTATTCATGCCTAAAATAATAATCGATGCCTTTAGGAAATTATTTTTATTTTACATAATGCTGCCAGCTAGTGGCCCTATTTCATACTGAGTCAACTGGGAATAATACTGACTGTTAGAATACTGAATCAAAAATTCTGCATTTTACATTCAGGAATCATTTTCTGAAATTACATATGTGGAAGCCTGACTTAATGATATTTAACATTATCCCAGAAATAAAGGAATATGTAACCTCAACCATCATTGGTATTCCTTGCCCAGTCCTTCCCCAGATCTAATAAAAATATGAGATATGCCTTCGTGTGAAAGAATTCAATGCCAACATGGAGAAACTAAAAGGTATTCTGGTTCAAGCTGGTGTTTGGAAATTTTTTTAAAAAGAAGGAAAGAAACTAAAAGGCATATCTGTCACTATCTATGAAAAAAAAACCTACATTACTTTAGGCATTTAGGATAATTTAAGGACATTTAAAGATTCCTTAGTGACAAAATACACAAATATTTTCTATAAAATCAAAAGCATATAATGTGGACATAAGAACAAAAGTATTTGTCTGAGTATTACTGAACAAAATTCTATGCAAATAAATGCATTTGATAAAGCTGCATTGTTAAGCAAAAGATATTACCTAAATTCAGACAATAGTTAACCGTTCTGAAATTTTCTTTGAGAAAAAAAGTATGAGTACTATTTTTACATTTAAAATGGTCATATTTCGGCCGGGCACGGTGGCTCATGCCTATAATCCCAGCACTTTGGGAGGCCGAGGCGGGTGGATCACGAGGTCAAGAAATCGAGACCATCCTGGTCAACAAGGTGAAAACCCGTCTCTACTAAAAATACAAAAATTAGCTGGGCATGGTGGAACGTGCCTGTAGTCCCAGCTACTCGGGAGGCTGAGGCAGCACAATTGCTTGAACCCAGGAGGCGGGGGTTGCGGTGGGCCAAGATCGTGCCATTGCACTCCAGTCTGGGTAACAACAGCGAAACTCTGTCTCAAAAAATAAAAATAAAATAAAATAAAATGCTCATATTTCATTGACAATTCACTATCTTAAAAAGAGGAATGTCCTATACAAAAAACATAAAAAGTGCACAGCTCCTACGATGGTGTGCTGTTTAACTCAGTGACATAAAGGTATTCTTGGCTGATTTCTTTCATCACATGAAATTAATTACAAGAATTATAAGAAATATTGAAGTGATTTTCTCAGTGGACAAATCTATCACTACTTAATCAGAGGCTTAGATTGAAAAGGCAATATATTCTATAATATTGTAGTACTGCATCAAACAAAAACACTAGTGTTAATGTATATTAACATCAAGAAAAATACGTTCTGGGTTTATTCTGTAGTGAAAATAAAGAAGCAGGGAATGGTTAAAAAAAAAAAAGCATCTGAAACAAAGCAAAGAAAGAGGAAAGAAACAGCCCCACTATTGAAGTAACTGAGGTCAAAATGGAAACAAAAATACAAGGGACAGTATTGCAGTGTTCAGTGTTCTTTCTGACCTACAATCTCTCCATTTCTTTCTATCTCCCTCTCTCCCTCTCTCTCTCTCTCTCTCACACATACACACACCCCTCCGAAGTGTAAAAACTGTGGTATTGCATTTAGTAGGTGCACCTTACGAAAGGCTTATTTTGCAGCTAAAGACAATAAGTTTCTTATATACATATATATGCATACATTTAGTGTATAATAAATACTAGTGAGAAGAAAATATCAACTATAAATTTACTTTGTAAAACACTAAATATATTTCTATAGAGTGAATGTGTAACTTACAAACATTTCCTGTGTTGTCAAAGCTGGTAAGAACATCTTCAACATTCAGGGATCCACTATTCTGCCTAGGAAGGAGTAAAGCATTTGCTTTAATGATTCCGAAATGTTAACATTTTTAGTTTTTAAAAAAGTTGAGACTGAGACTGTATATTATGATACACATTTCCAATAGCAATAAATTCTTCCATGCTATATTTTAAGAATATTTTCTGCCCACTAGAGGGAGAAGGAAAAGAAATAACAGTATGGTCCTCAGAATATTTAACATATTTAACATAATGACTTTTTAAATAATTAATCTACATCTTAAAAACAAGTAATATTTACTTGTTGTATTTTCATTATATAAAGGGAAGTTCTTAACCTTTCTAAAGCCAAAAAACTCATAGAGTACACTTAGAGAATCTTCAAGTTGAAAAACAATCACCTTCTAGAACCACAGTCAACAATATGTAAATTTACTTGATAATAGTAAAAAAAAAATCAGAACTTCAGTTACAAAGAACTAACCAATCTTCAGGTCGGCATATCCCATGTCCAGGCAGTCATGAATGTTAGTGAGCAAAGGTTTTGTATCTTTTACCCACTAATCTTAATTCTAACCCCTTTAATTCAAATCCCTCTTCACTTAACAACTCTTTTAAATATTTGACTTGACACTGATATTTTATTAATACCTATGAAAAATACTATTTGTTATACACAAATAGACCCAATTGTGCAATAGTCATAGAGTTTGAGTTTCTCAGGGTTATAAAAAACAAAATTAGTGCTAATCTATCTACAATCCTCTACATTCTCTCCCATATAATTTGCAGTTGAAGCTCTTCAGAATGTTATAAAAGTTTATAATAACCACTGATAATTTCTAAAAATTTACTTCATCAACATTCACTTTGTCATTTAAAACTTGTCATAAACGATATGTTATGGACTGAAGTGTGCCTCCCACTTCCCCCAAATTCTTACGCTGAGGCCCTAACCCTCTACCTCAAAAGGTGACTATATTTAGAGATAGGGTTTTTAAAGGTAATTTAGTTAAAATAAGGTCATTCAGTTGGGCCTTAATGTAATGTGACTGGTTTTCTTATAAGAAGAGGAGGGATTGGGAATCTCACTCCCATCCCTCACAGCAGCCACAGCAAGCCCCATCCAAGGAGAGTCTGAGCTCAGACACAACTAGCCCTGCCCCCACCTAATGGTCCTACCCACCCTGGTAGCTGAAGACAAAGGACATATACTCTTGGGAGGTCTAGGGCCCCACTTACCACCAGTCTCTCTCCATATTACTACAGTTGATGCTCTCTGGAAAGCACCATCTCTCAGCAGGAGGCCAACAGGCACAAAAAAACGAGCATTAAACCACCAAAGCTAAGAACCCTCATGGAGTCCATTGTACCCCCCTGCTCCGCCACCCCACCAGAACAGGCGCTGGTATCCACAGCTGAGAGACCCATAGATGGTTCACATCACTGGACTCTGTGCAGGCAACCCCCAGTAGCCAGGCAGACTCACTGGGTGGCTAGACCCAGAGGAGAGACGACAATCACAGCAGTTCCACTCCTAGGAAACCACATCCATAGGAAAAGCGGGAGAGTACTACACCTCAAGGGGACACCCAGTGGGACAAAAGAATCTGAACAACAGACTTCAGTCCTAGACCTTCCCTCTGACAGAGCCTATCCAAACAAGAAGGAACCAGAAAACCAACCCTGGTAATACGACTGAACAAGGCTCTTTAACACCACCCAAAAATCACACTAGTTCACCAGTAATGGATCCAAACCAAAAAGAAATCCCTGATTTGCCTGAAAAAAGAATTCAGGAAGTTGGTTATTAAGCTAATGAGGAAGGCACCAGAGAAAGGCAAAGCCCAATTAAAAAGAAATTAAAAAAAAATACAAGTGAAGGGAGAAATATTCAAGGAAATAGATAGTTTAAAGAAAAAACAATCAAAACGTCAGGAAACTTCGCGCATACTTTTAGAAATGTGAAATGCTCTGGAAAGTCTCAGCAATAGAACTGAACAAGTATAAGAAAGAAATTCCAAGCTCAAAAACAAGATCTTCAAATTAAACCAATCCAACAAAGACAAAGAGAAAAAAGAATAGGAAAATATGAACAAAGCCTCCAAGAAGTCTGAAATTATGTTAAACGACCAAAAGCGAAGACTAATCAGTGTTCCTGAGGAAGAAGATAATTATAAAAGCATAGAAAACATATTTGGGGGAATAATCAAGGAAAAGTTCCCTGGCCTTGCTGTAGACCCAGACATCCAAATACAAGAGGTTCAAAGAACACTTGAGAAATTCATTGCAAAAGGATCATCACATAGGTACACTGTCATTAGGTTATCCAAAGTTAAGATGAAGGAAAGAATCTTACGAGCTATGAGGCAAAAGCACCAGGTAACCTAAAAAGAAAAAACCTGTCAGGGAAGTCTTGGCCGTGGCAAATTGAGGAGGCTCGGCCTTAGGCTCTGGTGTCTCCCAGTCTGCTACTGGGGAGGCCTCAGCAGGGACACCCTGCATCGCCTGGGGACAAGACCGAGAATCAGCTGGCCCTGGTGACTAATGGACATCAACAAGGACCCATACTTCATGAAAAACCACCTGGGCTCCTACTAATGCAAACTCTGCCTGACGCTTCCCAACAGCGAGGGGAGCTACCAGGCACATACTCAGGGGAAGAGGCACTACACCAACCAGCCGGCAAGCAGCCAAGAAGGCACCGCCCAACCCGCGCCTGAGAAGGTTAAGGTGGGGTGAAGAAGTTTGTGAAGATCGGCCACCCAGGCTACAAAGTGACCAAGCAGAGGGACTTGGAAATGGGCCAGCAGAGCCTCCTCTTCCAGATCGACCACCCTGAGATCGCCAAGGGCATCAGGCCACGCCACTACTTCAAGTCTGCTTCCGGGTAGAAGATAGATCCCCCGACCTGCGCTGGCAGTACCTGCTGATGGCCGCTGAGCCCTATGAGACCATCGCCTTCAAGGTGCTCCAAGGTGCGGTGGAGAGAGATTGACAAGGCAGGAGGGCAAGTTCTGGACGAACTGGAACTGAGATACCAAGCAATTTTTCCTCCAGTTCCACTTTAAGATGGAGAAATCCCAGGCTCCGCCTAGCCTCCCCATCCTCCTGCCTGGGGTGAAGCGGCCTCCACCCCCTCCACCCCACTGACAAACAGTCTGCCCCCTCGGCCACCGCTGCCTGAGCCTTTGCCACTACCCCTGCCAGGAGGCCTGCCTCTGTCACCCATGCTCCCCACGGGGCCTGCACCCTCTGGGCCAGCGGGACCACCCCAGCTGCCCCGCCAGCTCCAGGGGTCTACCACCTGGCCCCAGTGGTGCATCCTCCTGCATCTGGGATCCATCCCCCAGCTCCTGGGGTCCACTCCCCAACTCCTGGAGTCCACCCTCAAGCCCCTGGGATTCACCCACCAGCCTCCAGAGTCCACCCACCAAGCCCTGAGGTTCCCCCACCAGCCCCCAGGGGTACACCCAGCAGACCCAGGGATGCACCCTCAGGCACCAGGGGTCCACCCCAATCTCCCAGGGTCCATCCATCAGCTCCTGGGGTCCACCCTCAGCCTACTGGAGTTCACCTTTCAAATCCTGGGGTACACCCCCAACTCCCATGCCCCCAATGCTGTGGATCCCACTTCCCTCCAAAGGCCAAGGGAACATACCTCCCCCTACCCTGCTGCTGGCTTCCCAGCAAGCCCGTCCCAGGTGCTCCTGCCTTTCCCACAGAGAGAAGTCTGCTCTTTTGTACTGTCCCCATTCATTAAACAGCCTCCCCCAGCCAAAAAATAAAAAGAAAAAAGAAAAAGAGAAAGAAAAGAAACCTATCAGATCAACAGGAGATTTCTCAGCAGAAACCCTACAAACCAGAGGGATTGGGGCCCTATCTTCAGCCTCCTCAAACAAAACAACTATCAGCCAAGAATTCTGTATCCAGTGAAACTAGGCATCCTATATGTAGACATCATATATGAAGGAAATTAGAGTATTTTTCAGACAATTGAATGCTGAGAGAATTTGCCATTACCAAGTCACCCACCACTACAAGAACTGCTAAAAAGACTTCTAAATCTTGAAACAAATCCCAGGAACACATCAAAATAGAACCTCTTTAAAGCATAAATCACACAGGACCTATAAAACAAAAATGCAAGTTAAAAAGCAAAAACAAAAAACAAACTACTCAGGCAACAAAAAGCGTAATGAATGCAAGAGTACCTCACTTTTCAATACTAACACTGAATGTAATAGCCTAAATGCACCACTTAAAAGACACAGAACCACAGAATGGATAAGAACTGACTATCTGCTGCCTTCAGGAGACTCATCTAACACATGAGACTCACATAAACTTAAAGGGGTGATAAAAGGCATTTTATACAAATGGACACCAAAGGCTAGCAGGGGTAGCTATTCTTATCAGACAAAACAAATCTTAAAGCAACAGCAGTTAAAAGAGACAAAGAGAGACATTATATAATGGTAAAAGGCCTTGTCCAACAGGAAAATATCACAATCCTAAACATACATGCACCTAACACTGGAGGTCCCAAATTTATAAAACAATTACGAATACCTAAGAAATGAGATAGCAACACACAATAATAGTGGGGGACTTCAATACTCCACTGACAGCATTAGACAGGTCATCAAGACAGAAAGTCAACAACAAAAAAAATAGATTTAAACTATACCTTAGAACGAATGCACTTAACAGACATATACAGAACATTTCATCCAACACCACAGAATACACATTCTATTCAACAGCACATGGAACGTTCTCCAAGATACCCAACATGATAGGCCATAAAATGAGCCTCAATAAATTTAAGAAAATTGAAATTATACCAAGCACTCTCTGAGACCACGGTGGAATAAAACTGGAGATCAACTCTAAAAGGAACTTTCAAAACCATGCAAATACATGAAAATTAAATATCCTGCTCCTAAATGAGCAATGGGTCAAAAATGAAATCAAGATGGAAATTAAAAAATTCTTTGAGCTGAACGGCAATAATGACACAACCTATCAAAACCTCT